CAATCTGAAATGACAAATAATGAGTATTTGAACGAGATTACATTTTACTGTATCTTATGAAAACAGAACGTCATTTATACTGTACCTTGTCATTTATACTGTACCTTGTCATTTATACTGTACCTTGTCATTTATACTGTACCTTGTCATTTATACTGTACCTTGTCATTTATACTGTACCTTGTCATTTATACTGTACCTTGTCATTTATACTGTACCTTATCATTTATACTGTACCTTGTCATTTATACTGTACCTTGTCATTTATACTGTACCTTGTCATTTATACTGTACCTTGTCATTTATACTGTACCTTGTCATTTATACTGTACCTTATCATTTATACTGTACCTTGTCATTTATACTGTACCTTGTCATTTATACTGTACCTTATCATTTATACTGTACCTTGTCATTTATACTGTACCTTGTCATTTATACTGTACCTTGTCATTTATACTGTACCTTGTCATTTATACTGTACCTTGTCATTTATACTGTACCTTGTCATTTATACTGTACCTTGTCATTTATACTGTACCTTGTCATTTATACTGTACCTTGTCATTTATACTGTACCTTGTCATTTATACTGTACCTTGTCATTTATACTGTACCTTGTCATTTATACTGTACCTTGTCATTTATACTGTACCTTGTCATTTATACTGTACCTTGTCATTTATACTGTACCTTGTCATTTATACTGTACCTTGTCATTTATACTGTACCTTGTCATTTATATGTACCTTGTCATTTATACTGTACCTTGTCATTTATACTGTACCTTATTCGGCTAAAAAAATATATAATTTGAATATTTCATCATATTTTATTGAAATATACATATAAATATACATCTTAAAGCAGAAAGTTTTTCATTCGGTAAATTCTGTACTTTGTTGAATATTTCATCACTTTTTTTCATTGAAAAAAAAAGGTTTTTGAAGGATACTTAAATTACAAGGCTTTAATTCACTGCCAAAGTGTTTCACATATTCCAAACCAAGAGCAGGAGGTCTAGATATCATAATAAGATATTATTTTTAAATCTGAATGTGTGAAATGGTTGAAAAGTTCTAGATTGACAGATGATGTGGATTGTTATAAATATTCTTTATAAAAGTTCACCACAATCAACCCACAACCAGTCAGACTGATGACAGTTAAACCGTAAAAGGTACATTCCAGAGATACACTTGGTGTAATTAATATTTATTTAGCTGCAACATTGAGCATTTGCTTCAACCTTGGCTTTAGTCTTAGTAGATCACAAAATGTACAGTTAATTTCCATAGAAAACAAAACACAAAGTCAGTCTGTAAACAACTTTCAGCTTAATGTGTCAAAAAATAGCTGTCAGAGTATACCATGTCTCGGACTATTCGCACTCGGTTATTTTGCACCGACTGTCATTGGCATTACCGGTTGCCGTGAACAGACGACTCAACTGATGTAAATTCTGGCCGGGTAGCCTAGACCTATGAAATAAATTTACATTCCATAGAGGCAAGCATATTCAAGCTATATGGTGAAGAACATGATTTCAATTTCACATGATGACATACTTTTAAGAAGAAATTTCATCAGCTGTAAATGATAATTTGATTGCATTACATAACTATTTTATTTTTGTTGACCTCTCATGGAGGCTGACATCTTGGAAAACAGCTCCATCTATTCATTTTTATTTCGTACCCAAAACATTTCATATCTTGAATTAACCGCTAAAATACTATAATATATGAATATTTAGCAGAGAAAAAGTAAATATAGTTGAAAACAAGATTTGGTATGGGATTCTCTCAACAAATATCATTTTAAAAATAACTGGTTACGTTATGTAATAAACTCTCAAAGCCAGTTTGTCCTTTTTGGGTACGATTTATATTAAAATGGCGGAAGGTGAGTGCTTGAACGAAAGCCTAATACTGTAATAGCATTTATGATTATTGATGGCATAAGGCTGACTCTGATGAATTTGATTTTATGATATGTAGGTGCAGAGTCGTGCCCAAAATGTTTTGACTGCGAGGATCTGCCTATCGGTAGTGAATTCGACCTCAGTTGCTATTTATCAATTTGTCGTTTCTATGCAAGTTCGTAACCACTTTCCCCCTCTCTCTTCACTTGACATTTTTTACCTGATCCATCGCATGGCAGTAACTTTCAGTATTACATTATATGATAATGTTCATAGTACACTTAATATACAACATGCTACATTATCACTGGAATATAAAAGTGGTAAATAAATGATCATATATTTTCATATTTTGCCATTTGGTTATGATATCGGTATTCGGACAATGGCACTTGGTGCTTTGTTAGTAAACTGTTAATTCAAGAAAATATGACTCTATCTATTAGCTTAACAGATGAGTTAAAAGGCTAGTTTTCTAGGGGAGGGAGGGAGGGCCCAAAAGATATGTACCAGTTTCACGAAAGATAGGGAACCCTCTCACTTTCAGGGGTAGTACCTCTCATCTCTTTTACAGATGTAACATTAAATGTTATTAGACTTATTGGCCAAATCTAGCTAGTACTGGACTTAAAGCATTGGTTCTTTACGTGACATCATTGGCTAGGTTTATGACGATCAAATAGCTCGACCAAGCTGTAAATGGGTAGGGATCACTGGGAAGATCAAAGCCAAGAGGTTTCTCCCAAGGACCAGCTGGTAGAAAGGATTCTTTGTGAACCCAAGTTGTTTTCCTTTGAAAGTAAGCTTACTGTTGTTTGTTTCTTTCTTAAAATTTTGTAAATTCTTTGAATTTGTCTTCAGAACAAGTGCCAGAAGAAGGTATGGCCAGGAATTATGAACAGGAGTTAACAGAGTTGAAGGAAGAATTTGAAAAGTTACAGGAACATTTATCAAACGTAGAAGTGAGATACCAGACTGAGATACAAGAGACTAATAAACAGAAGGAGAATGATTTCGCTGTACAGTTGATGAATGTGGTCACTAATTTATTTGGGCGTAGTCAGTATAGGTAAGGCCAATCTTGATAAAATCTGATAACAATTTATTGATCTTCCATCAAGTTTTCTTCCACTGTCCTGTTCTTAATAATGATTAAGTTAATTAAGGGTTAACCCTTTGTAGATTATAAGTATTATGAATTTCTTTATTAGGTCCAAAAAGATTTATATGATGCCGTTATGATCTTCTTTGATTTAGTTCATTGCATATTAGCATCACAATTATTGTAAACATAACTTTAACCCTGTGCCAGTGCCTTATATTGAATAGTAACTGGTTACTCTTCAATCACCCTAATCTCTTTGTGGATGAGGGTAAGACAGTGAAAGACTATGTAAGATCCAGTCTTTAGTTTTCTTCCACAAGATGACTAGATCCAGCTAGATAAGCAGTCAATCTATAATATAAAATAAAAAAACAACAATCATTATATGTATCAGTCTTGAAATTATGAAATGTAGAATTTTTCTTTATAATTGAGGACTCATTCAATACAAAGTTCCTTGTCAGAATAGCTTTTCCTAGTCTTTTTGAGTCTGCACTAACGAGCAAAGTATGGGAGTTCACTGTACAGTATCTAGAAGTTCTTAGATCTTGTTCCTATTCTAATATTTCAGTGATTTAAAGATATTACTAGAGAATGGAAATGAATTATGTGTTCACAAATTAGTTTTATTATCCCGCAGTAACGATTGGGATGTTCCAGATTTAGACGAAGTCGATGTTCTAGATCTTAAAGGTAAGGGAAATTATTTGTTTTATTAAAGTTTTTGAATTTTGACTTCATTTGTTTAAATGGAATAAATGGTACTGGATAACTGGATAACAAGCTGTTATTGGATATTGAATAAGTCATCTTTCCTCATTATTCTAGTTGACCCAGCTGTAAATGGGTACTGGATAAGTCATCTTTCCTCATTATTCTAGTTGACCAAGCTGTAAATGGGTACTGGATAGTCATTACATGCTGATCCCATTTTCATAACTGATATGATTTAACCAAATTAAATGAGATTATGATATAAGACTAATATAAATGTATTTTCTGATGTTTTTTGTACTGTTGCTAGGTATTAAATATGATGTAGCATATTCCATGTTAAAATGGGTCTACACGGATCAAATAGAGTTTGAAGAAAATAAAGAGAATCTAGTTGAAATGTTAAAACTATCAACAAAATTTAAATTAGAACCATTACAAATCAGGTAGAGTAGACTTAGTTTTTTTTTTAAATTTTTTTTTCTACTTTAACTATTGAATTTCAAAACTGTTTAAATATTTCAATTGATGGTTTAATATGAATGTGAATATTGTTTGTTTTATCAGCTAAATGACAAAGGTGTATCTGGCTGGTTTCCCACAATTGTAAAAGAAAAATAGTATTCTTTCAAAAAAAAAAAATCCATTTTATTCGTTGAAAATTTGATACGAATTAAAATAGCATTTCTATAAATAACTGGAACTACATATATCTTACTGAAAATTGGAATGATGAAGATAGAAGCCATAAATGGCCCTGATACACATGAAATGCGCGTTACAACCTCTTTAATTGAGATTAATTTGTTTGTATTTGATAGGTGTCAGAATTTTATGATAGAAATAGTCAACGTTGATAATTGTAATACATTTTATCAGGCTGCCAGTGAAACATCGGCAGAATTATTGAAAGATTATTGTCAGGAATTCCTCTCTAAACATCAGGTGGGTACCGGAATTATTTTTATTTTCGGGAGTAATAGTTGTGTTTTCTTAAGCCTGTTTTTAGTTACTGTAATGGTGTGGGCACATGAACAGTCTTGGTCGCTGATTTGTGTCGCTGACTCGATTCTTAAGTAAAATATCACTTGTGTCTCCGCTTCCAAGACAAGATTATCATGTCACCGACAGGATTTATAATATTAAACCAGTTTGATAATTGTCTCCAATAGTTATATAGTCTGCAAGAAAGAGTGTCATCATCCAATCAGATTCATTTTCCTTTCAATTACATGAATTGCACGTGATAATCGATATAGTGGAAAACAATCCTCGAGTGCCTGCAGCCGTTGGCTGACAAGACTCTAGTCAGCGACAAAAATCGTCAACAAAAACCGCTTATGTGCCCACATCATTGTTTAAAGGGGAACAAAGAGCCAGCCTTTTAACACAAGGATACTTCTTTGAGGTTCTTTTCTATCTGCTGGTTCTTTGCCATTTTTTGTTTTGCTTGCCGGAAAGTGAGGTTGGCTAGGGGTTTCTTATCATTTTACATACTTGAAAAATTGCCTGTGAACCCAGTTAATGTTTCTGTGGATCAAACTCTGGACCGTGCTGCTTTCCAAGGACCCGGAAAGGATTGGAATTGAATGAATTGTTAATAAATCAAACACCAAAACAAAGAATGGTATATACAGTGATTACGCTTCAAGAGTTACCACAACAGAATGGTTTTCCTGCGAAGGCTAAAATTACACCAGGAAAGATGTGTTTATCAGTTTGAGTTAGAGAACTGATCAAGAAGATATCTGAAACTGACCAAAGTAAATTTGAATAAAGTTGCTTACTGGATCTTACTAGAATCATACTGTAACTTGTGTTGGAATATAAGTGAAAATAATAATATGATAGTGTCGAGTGAAGCAGACTACTATACTACCTTTACTTCTGATTATGCCTTTCTTTGGACAAGATTTTTGATTGACGGAATTGTCTTTCTTGTACAGATTTTTATTCAAAACTCTTTTATCAGCGTGGAAATGATGGTTTATGATAGTATGGTTTTATCATTCTTACAAAGAAATAACATTGTTTTACATGGATAACAACTTATGTTTTCAAGGATCATTTACACCAGCTGGTCCTAGTGCCATTATCTTTATCCACAAATATATACAACTAGGTCAAGTGGGATCCTTTTGCTGGTTTTTGATCATTACCAGATTATCTTCAAAATTATACGACTATGTTTGCTGTAATAGTGTGGTCACAAGAGTTACATAATATTTTGTGTTTCTCGCTCTAACACTATTCTGAGAATTGACCACCCTCTGTCTGCAATATAAACTAACAAAATATCTGGTGATTCTGTAAGCGAATGATTAGTACCATGGAAGGCAAGAGATACATAATGTCTAAAGATTTTGGAACTAATTAACAACAGCTGATCTCAAGCTGCTGACATGTGTTATGGATACGGAATCCTCCTTAGGATTATTTAATCAGGAAAAAGAGGATTTATTAATTTGCTTACTCGTGCCGGATAAGGATAAGATGAAGATAAGACTGAATCCTTATTTTCATGCAATTACTTACTTAACTTGTTAATATTACTTTCTGCACTATTTATCTTTGTACACATTGTAAATTTCCTATTTTAAATAAAAATATCAAACCCTGAACTGTTATTTGTCTGTTTCAGGAGATATTAGATATTCATGATGACTTAGAACAAACTAATTTAACATTCCCAGAAATATACAGGTTACAAAATCAGGTTGGTGAACTTGACGAGGATAAAATAGAATCATTGATAACCGTCCAAGAATACAACGAAAGCGTCCAACTGAAAAAACCAAAAACTACATCGAAACTTCCATTTGCGTGTGTTATTTGTGGTCTTCAATTCCCTAATGAAGCAGAGTTCACTTCTCATGGTGATGTTCATACACAGTCAGAATCCTTTATTTGTAAACTTTGTGGACATAGGTTCAAAACTGATGCAGAAGTCAAACTTCATTTGATTCAACATTCTAAAAAACCAGTTGTGAAATTTGTGTGCAATATTTGTCACAAACCATTCACTGAAAAACGTTCTTTTATAAAGCATATGAGGATACACGAGGGAGTAGGGATAAAATGTGAAATTTGTAATAGAATTTTTATGAGTAAAGCTGATCTAGACCGACATCATACAGTTCACACGCAGGAGAAACCTTTTAAATGCTCATTTTGTGAGAAAAGGTTTCGCCTCAAACCTCAAATGAAAACTCATCTTGTTTTACATACTGGAGAGAAACGTTTCGAATGTGATGTTTGTGGGAAACGATTTGCCACCAGTCCTCATTTCAGACAACATATGATGCTGAATCATACCTTAGACCTACCCTTCCATTGTGAACACTGTCCTAGAGGATTTGCCATCAAGTCTCAACTCACTTATCATATGAGAAAACATACTGGAGAGAAACCTTATGTATGTGATATTTGTGGAAAATCTTTTACTGTGAGAAATTCTCTGGATAGGCATCTTCTTACTCACTCCGATTCCAGACCTCATCCGTGTCATGAATGTGGGAAAGCGTTCCGCCGTAAGAGCCAATTGAAACGTCATTCTTTGACTCACACGGACATTAGAAATTACCAATGCTCGGTTTGCGGAGATCGTTTCCGTGATAAATTCACCATGACTTCTCACATGTATACTCATACCAATCAGAAACCATACGCCTGTGATGTTTGTAGTGAGGCTTTTAGATCTGCTAGTTGTCTGAGAAAACACAAACGTAAACATGATTCTTAACAATATTACAGATATTTTGATTGAGTTTTATAATAAGTGGATATTATTTGAATTTTGGATAACTGATTGTTTTGATGCATTAAAAATTTTCACAAATTCATCAAAAAACAAAACAAAAAATTTCTCATCAGATCTGATCAGACTCAAGACTTTTGATATTGGTGGTGGGTAAAGTGTATTTGAAGATTATTTATGAGGGTCAAACATCAAAATGTTGTGTATAAGTTATAATTGGATCAAATTTTTTGCTTTGAATAAAAGTTTATGAATTTTGAGAGAGTTTTTGAAAGATGATCAGAATTTCTTCTTGTTTTTTCTTTGTTATCTTGGTTGCATGGTTGAACCATTCTGTAAATGGGGCAGAAATTGAAACATCAGAATTTGTGGTTGAGATAAAAGACATAATATTTGTTTCACCAGTTAATAGTGATCACCTTCAACTTGGAATAAGCTCCATCAGCTGGTTGAGCAAATATTAATGTTACTGTAACCCTAAAAGACATAAAGTTTATAAACGCAGTTGTATACCATGGTGGCTCAGAATAGCAAGCAGACTCTAATAGCTCATTTGAATTGTCGTCTGCGATTAGGTTAAAATCTCAGGTCATGAAGGTGATTTTTCACTACTGGCAAAACTGGTTTCAGTGCTAACTTAAACAAATCACTGCTTTCACTAGCACAATACAGTTATAGAACATTGCTTAAATTGGCATTATTTCCAATTGACATAAACCACTTGATGTATAACACTGTGTTCAACAAAACAGCCAAAAGTAGAACATTTTAAATTGTTTAAGTCTAGCATATAAATAATCATATATTAGTAAAATAAACAAAAAACAAAAAATATACAGAATTTATTTTTCAAATGAATATTTACAAAACTCAACTTAATTGTTGAAAGATATCACACTAGTTAGATCTCTATTTCAAACCCTTCATAATGAATATAATAATGTAATACAAGTTAGCAGATAGACAATATCAACTTGTTAGAAAGATAGCATCAGGTGTCCCAAAAGATTTAGTATGCCTTAAACTCAAGTGACTTCATCCACATAATAATGGATGTTTGAAATTAACATTATTTCTTATTTCCAGTGATTAATTTATTTTTGGCCTCCTCTTGACGAATAATATTTCCTTCTGTTAACATCAACTTTCTTCTTCGTATGTGATTCATTTTTAAAACAAACGATTCGGAATTATACCATCCATATTTATTATAGTTCTCTTTAACAAACGGTGGACAGTCGGCATGGAAACAGTCCGAATCAGAACGTTGGAATAGAAATGGTTTGACAGGATATTGTGATTTAAAAGATTCTTTATAAATAATTGGAAGATCTTCGTGGAGTTCATCCTCATTTACTACAGAATATTCAATGTCTTCCATCTTCTCATTTATTACTGGAATTTCACAAATCTTAGAAAAATAGTATGTATACTCTGAACACTGCTTGTACCAGTGCCTGCTGTTGAATAGTCACTTGTTATCTTTCAACCACCCTAATCACTATATTTTGAAGGTTTTTCTTCCCTTCAGTTTTCATCTGATGACGACACTTCCACTTTTGTTTTTGTTATTTCTGTTTATTTCTAGATATTTGACAATCACACATTCACTTGCAACTTTCTAGGGTTTAAGAAGAGATTAATCCAATTCAGAAGAATATATTTTAATTTGATTAAGTTCCCTTTTCCAAATATCGATTCAAACTTTCTAATCCTACATCCATACAATTTTTTCTTAAATATATCTGTAGATATCTGCTTCTTGTGATTGAAATATCAAAACGACTTTCTCCCAATATTTGAGGTGTAGCTTTATGTACTGTTTAACACTAGTTTAATCTATGACTATTTAACCCTGTAATATTCAGATATTATATTCAGTAGTTGTAAAAGATTAAATTTTACTGGTTTACAAATACTTTTATCTCAGTCGGGGTTAAAGAGAGAAGTTTTCAAGGATTGAAGTTTGTGTTTTCACTTTTTTTTTTTATTCTGAAATGTTTATAAATGCACTAAGCAAATTGCAATTGTTTCCAATAAGAACAGTATTGTGGATATAGTGCTCCTTTCATTAACATACAGAAATCTTTATCAAGGCTGATGAACTAAATAATAGCTGGCATTATACCACAAAGTACACATTCACTTTAACTATGATATAACTGTCATAAACAATACTAGTTTTATCTATGATGTTTACACAGCTTAAAGATCTGATTCACACCTTAAATACTGGTAGATTTTTTATTTGTTTGCATCACATTGAGTCCACAATGAGTTGCTCTGGATCTTACTTCAATATTTATTCCTAATGACACTGTGTGGATGCTTCAATATTTAGCTACATGATATCAAAAGTTTCAAGTTCTATCCCTGTATGACTATGTGGTATTCTGTATTGCTAAAGTCTTAAGATAATAACTTTTATCAGCCATTCTCCATGCCACATTGACCATATAAAAAAGTGCTCATAGTACATAGATCTAGGTGACCAAAGGTGGCATTATTTTACAAATTTACAAACCATAATAGTACTATCAAGTTAAAGTGGGGATCATGTAAATTATGGAAATTTGTCCTTTTGACTTGATCTTTTTTTGTGCTTAAATCATAACATTCATTTTTAGGAATCAATGTATGCTATTTGTTTATAGGAACACTAGACATCACCTGAGTATATTCTAGAAGGTTTTATACGCCATCTTTTAAAATTTGTTTTCTGAAGAGTACAAGTTGTTCTCCTAGCCATGGTAGACTTTCTCTGCTCTGATTTTGTGTCAAATTCGTGTTGGATTTAAGTTTGTAAAAGTATCCCACCCTAATACACCAATGTCAATATATATAATAGAAGTATTTAAGTAAAGTGAATGAAAAGCTAATTATGTGTAAAACCAAATGAGTGAGGTATATGATAAAAGTTTTGTCTATTTGTGTTAATAAAAGATCATATATCCTACCAAGCCCTCAATAACCCATGTTGACACTCTAATATGATTATTGATATGTTACCATTGGTTACAGTATTATTGACAGTTCGTTCTTTTTTTTCTATTGAGTATTTATTATATTGATAATTCAATCAAATTCTTAAAGAGACTCCCCCATATAGAATTTGAAAGATATATTTTCAAGAAACTCTCCCATAAAGATATTGGCGAACAATCCTTATAAAGACAGCTTTTAAGGAGGAAAAATAGTAAAAGAAGAAGCTTCTAGTCGTTCAATATCCTAAGGCCCTGTTTGCTAGAGGTTATGCAGCATTAAAATCACTTGACAGGTGAAAATTGAAAAGGAGTATGCAACAGTCTTGGCATTGCTCATCTTTTGCCCAATCAAAAGAGAAGACATAAAACATCATTTTATGTGTAAAGTCCATTGTGATACAATATTTCATGATTTTGGTTCACAAGACAATTAATGTCAAGTTTTAAATTGTTCAGATTTTATTCTGTTTAACTTTATTGTTTATATATATATTGTTATAATTAATATTTGAAAATAAATCTTTTGGAACAACAAAATCTGACTTTTGAATTCTGTATGTGTTTCAGGAGGAATTTCCTGATCTCTATGACGATGATTCCAATGATATGGTTATAAATTTTGAAGATTTGGAAAACAATCAAGACTGTCCAGTCGTCAAGAAGGTTCGGAAAAAAAAACGAATTCTCAAAAATTATCTGGAAGGGAATGAAGAAGATGGATACCAAATTTGTATAATTTGTCGAAAATCACTCCACGACCCTGAGGAGTTTAAACTACATGCACACAAGAGTTTATCGGTTGATATTCATGATTGTGTTATTTGTGGACAGCGATCGTTACCAGTGTCGAAAGTTCGGAAATGTTACATGACATCTGGAGAGTGTAATATCATATGTCGAGTTTGTTTACGAATAGATATCATTAGAAACACGGTCGTTGATAGTTGTAAATTGCCGTATATTTGTGGAATGTGTAAAAAGGAGTTCTCATGTAAGGGTCATCTAAAAGATCATATCCACCAGCATACAGGACTAAAACCCTACCAATGTGAATTATGTGGGCGTGGTTTCACAGCCCCTCAGTCCCTTCAACGACATAAACTACATCACGCTGGACAGAAATCGTTCCGTTGTGAAGAATGCAAACGACAGTTTTTTACTGGAGCTCATCTTCGTCGACATATTCGCACTCATTCAGGAGAAAAACCCTTCCAATGTAACGAATGTGGGAAATGTTTCGCTCAAACTAACACTCTTCAGGCCCACATTCGAACTCATTCAGGAGCCAAACCCTATGTTTGTGACCAGTGTGATAAATCTTTTACTGAACGACGAAGTCTACAGAATCATAAATATAAGATTCATGGTATACCTGTTAATAAACATGTTGGATTGCTGCTAAATTAAACATTATGTTCAAGGGATAGTAAAGAGGCTTTCTGTATGTGTATCTGATACACTTTTAGTTCCCATTTGCACCAGCAAGAATTATTTCCTTGGGTAATGAGCCTTTACTTGATGTCTGATAGATCATATTGACTGTCGGTCATTTGAGCAGCCCTGTCAGTCATGACCGGCAAATAGAGCCCTGTTATGTGATTCCAGCAATTAATAAATTCATGAATAAACAATGATGTCACGATCACAAATTCTATTTGAGACAAATGAAGTTTTGGCAATAGAGAAGTCAAATTTGGTCAAAAGATTTTTTTTTAGAAAAAAGCCGTTAAAAAGGAAACTTTCTACCTGATATAATATCATTGAGATGGATCATTTCTGTTTGTATCAGAATTAAGAATATATAATCCAAGGTTTTGCAAATAACCATTCATCAATTTTAACTGCTGTATAAATCAGTACAACTGTTTAAGATATTCAGTCCCTATATTTGTGATATATGTTATTTATTTTGTTTTATTGTTATTTTAGTTAAAGTGATTGTAAAGAGGATTTCTACATTTTTTATTTCTATCACGGACAGAGATAGCATCAATTTGCACCATTTCAATCAGACATCTGTAGTTTCTGCAATTCCACTAAAACTAAGTGTTTGATGACGTCACTAATTGCGAAGGGCCTTTTGTGATAAAAACATATTTGGCAATTAGCGAGCAAACAAAACACTTATTTTTAGTGGAATTGCAGGAACCACAGACATCTGACTCAAAATTGGAATTGATGTTCCTGATACACATAAAGAGTTTAGAAAACCTCTTTACAATTCCTTTAAAGTATTGAAATGTTAATGATTCTGTATTGAAAGTTAAGATTGAAGTTATCAAAAAATGATATTATGTTTTGTTCCAGCATGACTGGTTTATTGTTTAAGTTTGTGATATTTGAATTAAATTAAAATGTTGCGAAACATTGCAATGGTCTTGTTTATATACATGAAAAGAATGTCATCCTTATTGCTGAATTCCTTTTTGCTTTTTCTTCTGATTTTTTTTTGCGAATAAAAGGACTGCATTGAACTTCACTAGAATAAGAACTATAGGGTGTGACTAGAGACAGTGGCGTTTTTAGGAATCATAAGGTGAAGGGGTCTAATGGGGTCCACAGAAATGTCAAGGGATATCACAGCCACAGGTATTAAAGATCTAAAAGTGGGGGAGTCAAAGCCCATTTATTATGTGTTATTAACATAACTATAAATAATAGAATCGTGATAAGATCATTTTCATTCGAAATATTCACAAAAAAGAAAAGCACAAACGGACCATTGATCAATGTCTCCAAGCATGCTGTAAACTAATTTTGAAATCTGGTTGTGCTTATCTTTTATTTGTGTGTATTTCAGATGAAAGTAGAAGGTTTTTGTGTTTTTGAAGATGGGATTGTATCACCTGATACAAGTGAAGATGATAATTCAACTAAAGACGGGAAGAAATCTAAATCAAAGAGAATCTCCAAAAGAAAATCAAAAATCAATAAAGCGAAATCAGTAAAACAAGGCACAGAAACACAGTCTGAACCGAATTACGTTATTTGTGAAATTTGTCGTAAATCCTTCCACACTAAAGAAGAGGTTGCCATTCATTCGTTGATTCACAATGGTGATTCGAAATCGGACAATTTGATTTGTTACGTCTGCAGGAAGGGCCAATTAAATTTGAAGAACATGAAAACGTGTAGTATGGAAAATGGTGAAAAACAATTCGTGTGTGTCGAATGTGCGAACAGCAATGAGAATAAAGCACGATTTGAAAAAATATATAAAGAACATCCATATCAGTGTGGTATTTGTAAAAACTGGTCGCTAAGAAAAAACTATTTGATTGACCATATTCGTACACATACTGGAGAGAGACCATATCAATGTGAAATTTGTGGACAAGGTTTTGCTCGAAATTCTGTATTGGTGCTGCATAGACGTAAACATACTGGTGAAAAACCCTGCGTATGTGATATTTGTAATACAAAGTTTATGAATCGAACACATCTAAATCGTCATAGATTGATTCATTCAGGACAGAAACCATTCCAATGCGTAGAATGTGGTAAATTTTTCCGACAGTCCCATCATCTTGTCAATCACATGTTGGTTCATTCCGGAGAACGAAAATGGCAATGTGACATCTGTGATAAGTCTTTTACTCTAAAACAAGGACTGGAAAAACATGTCAAAACTCATGATATGTATAGTCAAGATCGTTCCAGTTTTATATCTGATGTACCTAGTGTTTCTACTGGACGTACTAATCTATCATCTCAATCATCCAGTCAGCAACATTGTATTAGTTTTCCAATTCAACATTATACTCCTATCAATTTATCCAGTGAACATTTTCACTGATTCAATAAACCCTAGTAAGTTGAAAGTCTTCCACACATGCTTCTTTAAAATTGCCTACATATATAAGTTTCTAAAAGGGAGTCATTTTTGAAATTTTCCAGTAAAAAAGTGTCACAAAAATTACAGAAAGTATTATTAATATTATTAGTAAAAATGTGATTATATCTCTTCTATTTGTCTGAATATGATATCTTTCCCAATTCTTTACCAACATTGATGCCTTTCTCTTAAAATTCTTAAATAGATCCATTCTTGAGACCTTATTAGTGTGACCAAATTACTGTGGACAATTCACCCTATAAAGACAAAATTATTATGATTTAATTACATTGTGACTGAAAAACAGTGACCATTTGGCCTACTGAATAATGAATGACCTCTTCAAATTTAAGGTGATCAAATTATCGTTGCTCTTCTTTGAAGTAGAGTATATCATTAATTTCTTTCATTTTCTCTTTCCAGGTTAGAAGATCAAAGAGAAAATCAAAGACAAGAGAAGAATCAGATGCTGATGAAAGTTTGATCAATGCTGATGATTTGGATCTAGATATCGAGCAGGAACAATCCGACTTGAGCTTGAACACACCTGAGATTTATCCTTACATCTGTAACGTGTGTCGTAAAGCCATTCACGAACCTTCAGATGAGCCTGCACATAGCGTATTACACGCGGAGTGTTTGTATAGATCATGCGCACACTGTGGTGAAAAATCAGAAACTAGTAAATCTGAAGTCAGCAAGAAACGATTCTTTAGATACCAGCATCCTGTATCCCAGGAATTGAGCTATTTCTGTAAATCGTGCGCCAATAAAAAAGAGGTTGTGGGATCATTAATCCAGTGTAAAAATCGACTGACAGATTTTACGTGTGGACGTTGTTCCTATCATTCTCAGAATCGAAGTCATGTATTGGATCATATTAATACTCATACTGGAGTTAAACCACACGTCTGTGATTTCTGTGGAATTGGATTCAGTCATACTGTATCGTTGATGTCGCACCGGTTGATTCATACAGGAGAAAAACCTCATCAATGTGGCGATTGCGGACGAGAGTTTCGACGAAAATTTCATCTAAATCGACATCGGTTAATCCACAATGGTGGGAAACCCTTTCAATGTATGCATTGTGGGTTATTTTTCAGGCAATCCAACACGTTAAAATTTCATATTCAAACCCACACAGGTGTGAAACCACATTCGTGTAATTTGTGCGATCGACAATTCTGTGACAGACGTTCGTTACGAAAACATAAAGAGAGTCATCACGATCAGTTACGAGCTGATGATTCGTCCAATATAACAACTGTTAATGTTATGATTAGTGATATACCAGTGGTATATGAAGAGATGAATATTGTTAACACTGAACTTACTGGACTACCTACTGAATAATTACAAATACTCTTAGCAACTGGACCAAGGGGTGTTACTTGTGCAAATAAAACCTCATGATTGATTGTTGATTTAGAAAATTTAATAAATATAAATAAAAATTTGATTTTATTATAATTTAAAGGCCAGATCATTGCCATGTGCTATATTTTAGTCAAAGTGAAAGTTCATGTAAGGTATTTAATTCTGCGAAGAGCTATATATAGCTATAGAAGAATTCTAACGAACATTTCCATCAGCAGAGTATTCTTTCTGCCCCTGTATTGCTGATTTAAATATAAAAGAATTTTGTATTCATAAAATTTAATCAACAAAGTAACACAATAAATTTAACAGAATATAAATATTTATAATTGTATTTATAATTATTAGAGGTCAATTGATAGTAGAGCTAAAGCCTACATAAATAATATCATAAGATGTAACCTGTGTTAAACTCAAAAGCTTTCCATCCTTAAGGCCCCCAAGACATGAGAACAAAAACTGCTTTTCACACTTCAGTAGGAACGCCAGCTGAAATAGGTCAGTTGTCTGAAGATATCTACTTGTCCAACTTCCATAGGGAAGTAGGCTGAAATAGGTCAGTTGTCTGAAGATCGCTTGTTGTCCAACTTCAATAAGGAAGTAGGCTAAATTGGTCAGTTAAATGAAGATCACTGGCTGAAATTGGTACGTTGTCTGAAGATAGCACAGCATGAAAATCTGTAAACAACATGTTTCAGGTTCTGTGTTCTGTTTTAATATTTCCAGTTCAACTTATATGATGATTAGATGTCATCCAAGTGAAGATTTAAATGTTTATTGAGATGGGCACTTTGAGAAAACTGTTTTTCACAAAACTGACACTTATAACTTCGTTTATTCTCATGTATTTTAACGTGGCGATGTCTGTCACTAAGGGAGATAAATCTTTTAGAACAATATTCGCACTCGTAGGGTTTCTCACCTGTATGAATTCTCTGATGGTCTCTCTTGTTGACTAGCTGAGCAAATGATTGATTACAGTATTCACATTTATAGGGCCGTTCTCCTGTATGAATTCTTAAATGCACATCCAAATTTCCTTTTGAGGAAAACAATTTTTTACAATGCTCACATGGGAACTTGTTGAGACCGGCGTGACGTCGCTGATGTGCCTTCAACCCGTGCTTAAAACTAAAAGAGATATTACACATCTCACATTTAAAAGGTTTCAGTTTTTTATGCACGGTGTCGATATGCTGCACGAGTTCGTATGGCTTCTTGTATCCTTTATCACATTGGGGGCATTTATGGCGTTTGACGTGATATAAACGTTTATGAGTAGACAACTCTTCGATGGTTTCAAATATCTTTTCACAAACATTACATTTATTTGGTTTAACCTCTGTTACAGTGGAATCGTGGTCTGTAGCTTGAGGGGAGGAGGCAGGAGTTTGGTCCGCTACCAACAACTCTGTGAGTTTCAGGGGTTTTACATCATTTTCTACTTCTAATGTTTCGTCTACCACCTGGAATAATAAACAATGCTTCTAAATATTCAACAATATATAAGAGATTTAATACATCACTTTCTCAAAAAGAAGCCAAAAACATTTAAGGGCCTCTGCGAAAGCAACTAAAAATGGAAAAGGTGTGAATCCATGCTCGCAGTATTTTCAAAAAGCATTTGAAGTTTGGAAGACCACTTTGTAATCAAAAGTTTAGTTGGTAACTTGGTTTACATAATTATATATCAATACCAACTAAGATCTATTGATATATCAATACCAACTAAGATCTATTGATATATCAATACCAACTAAGATCTATTGATACATCAATACCAACTAAGATCTATTGATATATCAATACCAACTAAGATTTATTGATATATCAATACCAACTAAGATCTATTGATATATCAATACCAACTAAGATCTATTGATATATCAATACCAACTAAGATCTATTGATATATCAATACCAACTAAGATCTATTGATATATCAATACCAACTAAGATCTATTGATATATCAATACCAACTAAGATCTATTGATATATCAATACCAACTAAGATCTATTGATATATCAATACCAACTAAGATTTATTGATACATCAATACCAACTAAGATCTATTGATACATCAATACCAACTAAGATCTATTGATATATCAATACCAACTAAGATCTATTGATATATCAATACCAACTAAGATCTATTGATATATCAAATGACAGCCCTTACTTTATCACCAGAACCCTAAAAAGCCTTCTACCCATAGAGCAGTAAATAAAGAACTATACCTGATTGACATCATATTCAAAAGCTTCAATTTCTATCAAAGCTGGTAGATAGTCTTCTGCTATTTTACACCTGAAAATTACACAAAAATACTGTAGGGCCGACATCAGAAACCCTGGGGGTCGAACATGACAAGCATAGATAAGTTACCTATTTGGAAAAACGCTGGACACCTTGTGTGGTAGACAATGCAGATTTCTAAAAGATTACAAGCACACTCACCTATAGTTACCAGCTTTCTAAAACACTTACAGTGGCCTTTATCTCCAATATCTTAGTCTTTTAGTCATCTGATTGGTCACAAAATCTAAGTTTTCAAGAATAAAGCCAAACTCTTTTGAACCAATTCTATTTTCTTGGTTATATACAGAACAAATATGAAAATGTTCCATGCCTTACCGTTTCAATAGAGCTTTCATATTACATTCTACAGCTACTAATGATAATCTTTCTAGAAATTCACGACTTTCTATCTCAATAATATCAGTATACATCCACTTTATCACAGCATACGCTATTTCATAGGACATTTCTAGAATGATAAAAAGATATTATAGAGTAAACAGTACAGACTAAGACTATCTTGTACATTGGCCTCAGGCTGGTATTTGGTATTTGTCAAAAATTAAACCTAGCTTTACTTCCTACTGTTCTGCACCTGTTGAGCCAATAAAGAATGCAATGTCATGCAGTGTGCAATGAGGGAAATTTTGTCAGGACAGCAGCATTAGCATTACTCTTTTCAGAATTCCAACTGTTGAATACATTCATTATATATGTATATCATTACTAGTAATTCTAAATATTTAAAAAAAAGTTAGTCTTCTGCTTTTTCTCTAACCTGATAGATCTAGAAATTGAAGATCTAATTTAGCCCAATAATCACTCTGTGCTGCTATAACTGAACGATGGCCGTGGATCTGATAGCCACCTTGAAACATTATTATCATATCACTGCAAAACATTAACAACAAATTCATAAGCAAATACTATTGGTAATGCTGTGCCGGGTACGAATCGAAGCTTGCATTTTAGTCCAATAGAACAACTTGATGCTTTTCCATGTCCGCCTCCCTAACCTGCATCACTGACGGAAAAACTATGGTAAATACGGAAATATGACAGTATTATCTTAACCTGAACCTATGCTTGATATCCCCTTTCCACATGTAGGTTGTTCAAATTGAAACTTTGCTGCGCTCTGCTTGAGGTCAAATGCTCAAGGTTTGGTAAATAGGCCCAGTGTCTTCCTTACTGAGTTGCCTCAATTGAAGTACGTTAAACCATGGTCATACCTGTACATTTCACTCTCAAATAATCCACTGATAAAACTCAGATGTCTGGAACTAAACTCATCATCAATATCTCCAGCAGACGACACCAGCTTGGCCTGGTATTTCAACTCTACGTCTGATAGATGTTTATATAGACCCGCATTCTCTTTCTGTAATTCAATGACCTTCTCCTGTAGACTCTGAACTTCTATGAAAAAAACGGAATAATGTTGTAATGGAAAGAGAGTTTTAGGTCTACACTGCCAAGATTTGCAGTTGAAACTTCCTTACAGCTGACCATACTCATACTGGTAGCCCACCTATTTTCCAGCTAGATAGGCCTATACAGTATCCATGTTTGAACTACTTGATTTGCAAGTAGGGGCTAAATATCAACATATGGACTTACGACAGCTAAAAACTTGATCGACCTTCCACTTCCAGATATCATAAAAATGCAAAAGGCATTTCTTTAATAACATGATAAAATATGGGTTTTAAGACCTGTTTATATCTTCCATAACACCCAATATTTAAAAATCACCAAGGTCAGAATTATGATCTTCAGAACATCATTGTTCATTTGCCCTTGAGGGTAATTTTCGAATTAAATTGTATGCTCCATAAGAATTATAGTAGATGCACGAAAAATAGGTTAGCACGAAATTAGGTTACTTGATTGTACTCTTTAAATGGTATTTAGCAACTGTACTATACATAGAGCCTGAGGTCGAAACGTTGCATAAAACTTTAACCAGTGATTGTAGTTCCATAAAGCTGTGTCTATAAGAATTAATATCTTATAGAAAATTTATTGTGATCTGCTCTATAGAAATCACCATCGGACTAATGAAGACACTGTTACCCTATTCGCCATATTTTGAGCAATTCCATTATTATGCTCTCTTTTCCGTACATTAGAGTTCAAAAGACTAAGAATGGAGCGACATTTCACACTGCCATCTCAAAAGAATGAAAAACTATTCAATAAACTTTTTAAAGAGAAAGAAAGTATGCTCGATTCAGTATAAAGAAGCCAAATAAAATTCGCCAACCTGACGCCATTTTGATTTCTTTCTACGGGATGCGTTCGATATGTTTTTCCAAGTATTCTGTACTAATCGAACACAGCTCAAATTTTTAGTGGCGTCTAAAAGATGTACATGGAGCATTCACATTCACTCTTGATCTAATTCCACCTGTTGAGGGATCTTTAAAGTGCCCCGCCTGTAGCGCAGAGAGCCTCAGTGTATTTCCCACCTGAACCACTAGACAATTTTTCCATGTCAGCACCTCTAACATATATTTTCTCGACCTATGCGGGGTTTTAACCCTGGACATTCAGGTTAGCGAGCAATCGTCTAACTCACTGACCCTGTGGCTACATCTCAATAGGTATGCTAGTTTAAATAATAACAAGGAAAGCTCAATGATCACAAGAAATAAACAATACAAATATTTATAATTGTATTAAATATATTTTATTAATATCAGGCATTCTATAACAAAATCATTTGATTTTTAACAAAAAACAAAATATTCATCCAAATCCTTTACAAATTTTACAAATAATAAATAATAAACTGTTATGCCTAATTCACATTATGGACCTTGTATAATTATTCAAGCAAATATATATCGATTACCATACTATTTATATTCTTCCTCAAAATAAGACGGATTGTTTGTCAATATTTATAATAGACCACAATGAACACAAACATTTTGGTGATGCTATGGTCATTTAAAAAAAAAAATAGATAAACAAATCATATCTTAACCATAAACAAGAGCTCATCGTCGAAATTTGAGCCTTCAAATCCATGTGTATCCATAATTATTCATGTTGAAAAGTTAAAAATTCAAATCGAATTTAGTTGAGATTAGTCCATATATAGAACACATAATATATAGGATTACGCAGTGAAATTTCTAGTTTGAGGTATATTTGAGAGGATTATGTGATTAAAGCACAATAAAGATCCAAATCAATCCCTGAAAATGCAGACTGTTCCCCTCTAAGGGACTGCCCCTTTAAATAGTTGGCTTCACATCCTGAGCATCTTTCTTCATTTGACATTTTAATAAATGGCCTTTATACTGATATTTTCTGATAAATTCTTTCGAACAAAATTCACATTTAAATTCTTTATCATAATGTGTTTTAATATGACGGTTTAATGATATTTTAGTTTTGAAGGCCTGATCACAGTTTGGACACGGGAAAGGACGTTCGTCTGAATGAACCACTAGATGGCGTCGTAGTTCTTCGTTTAAATAAAATCTCTTACAACAAATTTGACAAACAATATTCTTAACTCCCTTATGAACAAGTTCATGTTTTACTAGGCCAGTACGATCAAGGAATTTCCTCTGGCATCCTGGAATAGAACAGTGAAAGTATCTCTCTTTCGTGTGTAAATTTCTATGACGTATTAAACTCATCCTTCGCACGAATTCCATTCCACAGAAATCACATTTAAAAGGTTTGATTCCTTCGTGGACTTTGATATGATCAACTAATAGACTCTTGTTGTTAAAACCTTTCGGACAATACGTACAAGGATACAGCGTTACTCCATTATGCTCTTTGACGTGAGATTCCAGACTTTTTTTGTTGGCGAAACATTTTTCACATTCCTTACACTTATGTTTCAATTTACCCTTATGAATTTGACAGTGGCTCATCAAGGCAGCGTGTGATCGAAAAGTATTTCCACAAATCTGACACAAGTGGTTATTTCCATTTTCATGAGATTTCAAATGAGATCGCAAATGAGGTAGAGCTCGGAATTTTTTATCACAAAGATGGCACTCGTGACTGTTTTCATTACCATGGTTACCTTCATGTGCGCTTTTTTCTTTTTTCGTGCTAAATTGGGCATCACAATGACTACATTCGAATAAATCGTTTTCATGGTTTTCGATGTGTTCGTCTAAATCTTCATTTGTTGCGTAATCATCCCCGCAAATATTACAATGAAACTTTTCTTCCAGTCTATGATCTTTTTTAACATGTTTCCGTAAACTTGATTTGTGGTAAAATCTATGATGACAGAAGCCACATTCAAATTGTTTCTCCCCAGAATGTATTATCATGTGATTTTTCAAATTTTCTTGTCGATTAAAACACTTATGGCATTCTTCACACTCAAATCTTTTAGGAACTTCATGAATTTTCGAATGTTGCTTCAACTGTGAATTTTTTCGGAAAGTTTTCCCACAATCCCGACAAACAAACTGATGTGCATGTTTCATTAAGGCTAGAGCCAGTTCAAAATCTACAATAGGTTCCACTTTAATAGAATCATTACATACAGATCCTTTTGGTTGTTGTACAATATTCTGGAATAAAAAACACAGAAATAGGTGTTAATTTAAACAAGGAACCAAAAGACCTTCATATTTGCAAAAAGAGCTGCAGTGAATAAGGGAGTAGTTTACTCCCCACTAAATTAGGTCAAGAAAATTCCATTAGACTTTTTATCCTAGATTGCTGTCAATGGTAAGGTCGGCACAGAAAATATGCTGAGTGGTTTGAATGGGATATTAAATCAAGTCCCTATGTCCTGTAGGCTGTACACTGTCATTGTCCTGGTAAAATTTCTTTCATTTCATTTCCAATTCTCTTCTTCAGAAGAGTAGCATAAACGCTTTATTTCATATCATTTCTGCATGATCAATCAAATTCCTAGCCTGCTCAGCCATTAAGCCCCCAAAAGATATCTTAAGCCTGAGTCAGAACTCAGCACTAGAATGGAACATGGTCAATCATAAACTGCTCAAATATATTATACCAACCTGTACACAATCCACCACATCAGTGTTTGGTTCAAGTTTAATAACAACACCATTATGAGTTGTGTTTGTGGTTGAAATAGTTTCAGGTTGGTCTGGGTTAGTTATATCAGGTATTGATATAGTATTTAGAGTCTCCTCATCTTCTTGACGTACCACTATTTTATCTGCGGACCTCTCGACTATCGGAATTGATTCAACTGTCACTTCCTTATCGACCGACTCCATGTCCACTTCTTGATTCTTATTATTCAGAGCTTCCAGACATCTGAAAATCAATTGGAATATGAACAAAGCAGAGTAGTTAGATAGGTGTTAGTCAAACTGGAGGTAAAAAGTTGTTTGACTCTCAGAATATTCAAAAAAACCAAGGCTCTGAGTGCTATTCTAAAGATCCCTTAGCTGATGCTAATGTCCTGGCAAAATTCCCCTCATTGCACAATGCCTAATCAAGTGCAGAAAAGTAGGACGTAAAACTCAATTTTATTTCACAATATTTAGTGTCCTTTCAAATCTCAAAATAACTTAGTCACAAAACTAACTACATTTTATCAGTAATGAATCAAGACAGCAATAAGCCTTAACTTAAAGAGTGTAAAGGGCAGAACAAAAGATGATGGTACTGAGCCAACCTAAACGGTGCAAGGGATCATATTGAATACCTGCCATTCAGATGTAAGGGGAAGAAACGATGGTACTCTCTGACACATACCCTTATATATAAAACATATGGAAGAGAAACTTTAATAGTATGATGTCTGTAGTAAATCATTTAGTTAAGATTAAACTTTGAAGTAATAAATCACATTAAGATTTTACCTTTTCATTATAATTTTAAATCAGACATACCTATTATAAAGAGATTGTAGTTTATATTTAGTAGCTAAATGTAGTAACTGTGTTAAATGTCTAGCTGATACCTTCGTATCTAATTCATCTCGGTATATCCATCGAATTAAATCTAGCGCCACTTCTACCTTTACATCTACAATATACAAACATTTTATTATATCTATACTTATATTGCCTGGAACCATAGTTCTTAGAATGTATGCCAGTAATAGAACATTGGATAATTTTGCTTGGAAAACAACCCCATGATGTTTGGTGTCACTGACGAGGCTGTTTTTTTGTCAAGTCAGCATCCATTTCAATCTTTGTTGTTTTTAAATCAAATCCTCTTTCACACCAATTATTCCAAAGTAAAATTAAAAGTAGATCTATATGTACCAAGTTTTGTATGTGTTTAACTTAGTTCAAAGTTTTGAATTTAAATCAATCGGCTATCAATAGGCCGGCAAGATGTTTATAGAAGATAGAAAGAAATATAGAATATTTGATACCTGTTAAATTTAACTCTTCACAAGAAATAATATCTTCTCCCCAATCATTAGTACGAGCCAACAGAACAAATTTATGGCCGTGTATCAACTGATCTCCTTCCAGTAAAATTTTTATATCACTGAAATGTTAATGTATTCTTGAATTACATTGTCAATTTTCAAAGCGGGTACATCCTGAATTCAAAACATAATAGCTGGCAAGATTTTAAGATTTAAGCGTTCATTTGAAAATAAGTTGAAAATCTCTTCACATTTACAACCATTATAGTTCCATCTTCACAATGTCAAGCTATTACAAACTTTATACTCTGCATCTCAGCAGCTTGTAAATGCAGTGATTTGATTGGCTCGTGCGTAAGCTAATACAGCCAGAGTCACTACAGAAAGTCTGTAAAAAATAAAGCCATAATGAATTATGAGTGTTGAGGGCTCTGATTGGTTGTATTTGCTGGCGTACAATCCAATAAATATGCTGCATTCTGTGATAGAAGAATTGTGGTTAGTGCCTTCTACCTAGGCTTCAACAGTATGAGTCTCCTTTGTTTATTCATTACCAATATGAAGGATCTTAATACAAATTCTACAATAATAATTTACCTGAAGAGTTCTTGACCAAACAGATCAGAAACTACAGCCAGTAATCTTTCACCAAAAGAATTTGGTGTTGTGGTGTTCTTTGACAACTTATCAATTTGATCCAGATATAGTTTTTCCATGTCATGGAACCTGGTTTGAAGGCTGAAATAGTCCTCACTGATCTGAGCTAGGAGAACCGTTTCTTCAATAACTTCAGATGCATCCACTTCCAACGTGTTCACTGCCGTCGACATGTTCACTGTCGCTGGCTGGTTTAATGTTGACACTGTCACTGGTAAACTCATTATCTCTGTTTCAGGTGTCACTGTAAGAAAATGATATGAAGTTGCAAGGCTGGTTGAAATTAATTTGTTTACCATCAAAACCACCCTGATTTATCTTTTTAAAATGTGGGTCATCTTCATTCAGATTCATTGTATTGTCAAATCATGTCATAGGAAAAATGTTTGTATATATATCATCAAGCCTCACATTTTTGGTACCTGAAAACATTTATATTCATAGACAAATGAAATGAGGACTTTCGTGACAGAAGAAGCCCAAACCGGAAATCAACAATCATTATCAACAGTCAACAACTGTGAGTGAGAGAGAGTGGTTGGAAAGTTGATTCTTTCTGACCTTCGTTTGCCAAATGCTTTAGATAGAAGAAACACATTTTTAATCATGGCATTTTTTTTTAGGCCCAAGCATTTCTTACTATAAGTGATTGCATAAAATGGCCAATTATGATGATTTGGGTTGAATATGATGGCTTTATTATAAAATTTCATCTTGCGTACTTACCTTCAGCCATTTTGCCGGAAATGCTAGTCACGTGATTTTAATAGGTGTAAAATTGCGATATGGAAACAGGTTTAGGGAAAATTCGGTCCAATTCGACCAAAAGACAGAATTTGCGTTGGGTTGCATCATAGTTTTATGGTTGCATAGAATATATTTTCAGACTTTTTAAAAGTATCTAAGGAGATATGTGCTAAATAAAAATCATTTGATAACATCTAGCAAAAATTCCTTTGGTCTTTCTTTTGGATCAGTCTGATACAGAAAATCATAGTCACACCAGGTTTCTAGAAGAGTGAACATGCCCTGCCTTATTGAGACTGGCATTGTTTTGCCTCCCCCCACCTCTCTCACCTTTCTTTCAAATATCTTATCATGGTAAATTTACAGGGAAAGAGGTGCTTGTAAGCCTTGACCATTTTGTTGCCCTTACTTGTCCCCTTCACCTAATGATTCACAGAATGCCACTCAACTGTTTCTTATTATGGAGCTCAAATTTTGTAGCTTGAGCTTAAATCTAATAGCTGGAAGAACACAACTTGTAACAATAAGCTTCACAATTAAAAAAATCTATTATTATAACTTAAATATATTCATTCTTGAGATTTTTCACAAGTGACTAAATGTTTTTCAAGTTGAGTCAACCTTGGAAAACCAGAGTTACAAAGATGGCAACAAAAGTTCCTTTCATTTTCATGAGTCATCAAATGTCTGTTCAGAGTGCTGGCATCTCTAAACTTTAGATTACATTCCAAACATGGGTAGCTTTTTACTCCATTATGACCTTTCACGTGTCGACTAAAATTACTCGCATCTGTGAATTTCCTTGAACATATTTTACACACATAGTTTTTAATATTTAAATGAATCTTCTTATGTCTTTTTAAAGAACTGCCGTCCACAAAAGACTTCTCGCAAATATCACAAAAGTATGACTTTCCGTTCGTATGAATGTTTTGATGACGTAGTAGACTCGACCGTCGATTAAATGATTTCCCACACACATCACAATTAAACGCTTTGACACCTGTATGTGTTGTCACATGATCTGCTAGATGACCTTTATGTTGAAAAGCTTTTCCACAAATTGAACACATGAACCTATTGAAAGCAGAACGTCCTGGAGATAATTTTTCAGTAATATTGTCCACCGTAAAGTCTTCATCCTAAAATGTACGAAAAAAAGGTTACATTTTTTAGAATTGAAAGCTTGCAAATTAGATTAAGTCTATTATAAAATTGGAAAGATTGTTTGTGGTAGGTATTTTTTATTTTATTTGCAGAAGAGGCTTTAAATAAAGCTGATTTTTCTGACAAAAAAGTGAGGATAACATCAAAGATTTCAACTTTCAATGACATCAAAAATTGACAATGACAAATTTTTACCTTCCTTGAAAACAATAAAAGACATGCTGATAAAATCAGTGAAAAATAAATTACATTTTAATAATTTTAACTTTTCATGGTCTCGAAAACTTACACTTTCATCCATTTCTGACACCATTCCTTCTGAAACTGAATCAGAATCAGTCGCTTCATCTTCGTCACCAACGACTACAGTATCCATGGTAACTGGCAGTTTCTTGACTACTGTATCCACAGTGACAGCTGATGTATCAACCACTGTATCTATACTAAATGGTGTCTCTGTGATTACCACAGATTTTGTTCCAATGACGTCTGCATCTAAACTTACAGACTGAGGATTTCCTTCCAATGATTTTAAAACAATATCTTCCTTGTTTTGGAAGTTACTTATGTTTAAATTGACTATTTCATATTGTTCTACATCTTGTAAGGAATTCAATGCGGTTTCACATCTAAAATAAATGAAATAAAATGAAATTATCATGAAATTCACTGGAAAAATATTTATATTTAATTTTGATTGGTATCAGTGTTATGACAATGAAATGATAAGAAAACAAACTCTCGACCCCAAAAATTAGTGACAGGAATATCTTCTGCTACCTGAAGGGGTTAGATGGCCAATTAATTTTAAGGACTTGAGTCTCTTTTAAGAAATCTTTATGTATTGTGTTTCTTTGAGAAACTATTATCTTACACTTAATTTTGCAGAATAGCTCAGTCTGTAACAAGTTAGATTGTCGTCTGCTGGGCGATTATGTGATTTAGTATTCTCCTCAAGAAAAGAACAATTTTTAATACCAAGGCCAGTACTTCCGAGAGTTAGTCTGATATCAGCCTTTTCAATCGTTTTGAAATATCTCACCTAGTATATAAAGACTGTAAGTTGAAGCATTTAGCAATGGAAATTAACTGAGTCAAAAAGTTGATAGAAACACCATCAATATCTACTAGATCTGTATATACCCATTTTAACATTGTCATTACTATACTCACTGGAAACACTGAAAAAATAAAATATGTGCTGAAAGATAGAAGCATTCATCTTCCATTCTTTTATTTTTTAAAAGTGAATTTTCTCATTTGAGATCCCCTATGAATTCATACCTTTGCCAAGCAAAATATTATAAGAAATTTTATGGCTTTTTCTTCTAAGTTGTTATTGTAACATTCTGGTGCATCATCTCTATTAAATAATTCAGGGCAATGCTAAAGAAAAAAACATTGCCTTAATAGCATCAATATATGCTCACGCATCATGAGCAGCGGATGCTGATGTGGAAGCGTGTTTGTCAACTGTACTATCCGAGATTCCATTAAATACATAATTCCACTCACTTGATAGGTCAAGATTATCAGCCTGAATAAAATCGTCCAATCCCCAAGAGTTATTTCTGACGTATAAGATCAACTTGTGCCCTGGGATTTTATTTCCATCTTTTAAAATAATTTCTATATCACTGAAAAACAGAAACTTTTTTATTGCTGAATACTTGCCTGTTATATACTTGGATAATTTAGGATAATCAGATACTTATAGTCAATTTAAAATGGGTTTTTACAAGATACGTACCTAAACTCTCGTTTACCAAAAAGACTTGAAAGTAAACCAGTTATTTTCTTAGAAAACTCCATAGATAGTCTAGTATTTATTTGTTTGGCACACGATTTCTATTAGTTTACCTATTCATCTCTTAAAACTCAATCCCCTGTATCAGAAAAAAAAATTGAGCTAATGAAAATTGGAAAAAAAAAATACTAAAGAGAATATATTATGATATAACACACTACTTTATTATACCCTTGTGTGTTTTTTTTTTTTGTTCTATACAGTGCTCTAAATGTCGTTCAAATCTTATATTTATACCGTATATAGAGTTATATTATAGTTATATAAATCAATGATACTGTACTGCATTCATTTGGGACATTTGTTGAGTACATTTGAAAACTTAGAGAAACCCTTCCAAACTCAGAGCTTTTTAGGGACTTCATTTGCAAAATAAAGCAACAAGAAATCATCTCTTTATGCACTGGAATCATATCCGTATTTCAGTTCAAAAATCTGAACATTTGAGTAGTTTAATTAACGCAAATATTACCTAATTAATCTTGAAAATCATTTGGCAGATAGTGCTAGTCGTTTCGTACATAATCCAACTTGTCCCCAGTCAGTTCGCCCAGTCATCAACACTTTATTAGTCATATTGACCAAAAATATTATAAAAAGCATATTTCATATTGCACAGTGTACCATTAAATCACACATAATGAAATAGGAAATACCAATAAATTTTTGGGTTGATTTGATCATTTTGTAGGTTTGACTAAACACTCAAATCTGGTAAAATAGCCAGAAAATTGGACTGACTTGAGATTGAGAAAAGAACAAAAATCAATAGAAAAAAAACATGTTTATTTATGGTTTAATCACAGAGTAAACAATGTAAAACATAGAGGTAAAACAATTGTATGAAAAAGGTGGAAAAAGCAAAGGTAAAATAAATGATGATTTATTGACTACCTACAAAATTTATAAGCGTGTAAAATGCATTAGCAGATGCTATAAAACTACATTTCTGCTTAAAACATAAAAACTCGATGTACATAACTCTGGCATTGCTGTTACATAATCAATGAAGTCACTGCAGTTACATAGGGAGTAGACAAATTTTTTATTATTACATTTAAAAATTCTATTAAAAAATCTTGAGATAATAATCTTTCCCTGATTTTTTTTCTAAACCAAACTTTCATGCTATAAAGGCACTACAAAGATTCTCCCCACCCCCCACCCCATTGAATGCAGGATACAAATGAATCTTATCATCAAATATCTTTTTTCATCCAAGTAACTTTTGTTGGATCACAGCATTGATTCATTACATGTTTATTTGCAGTCCCTGAACATTTTTTCTCAATCTTTGGTAGGGGTGGGGCAGGAGGTGCCTGTGGTGCTGCGGGTGGGGATGGAACACTTGCATCTGGACAAGTTTTGGTTGAAGAACATTGCGTTGAACATGTTATATTTTGAGAGGTATTGGTTGGATTATCGAATTTCGTTGAAGATTTACAGCAGGAATTCTTGATATTGGTTTTGGTTAGCTGATCAATCTGAAATAAAGGGAGATAAATTGGTATGATTAAGATGACAGATAATCATTTCTGATATTGATCTAAATTTTTCAAAGCAGAACAAGATTTTATTATGTTGGAGGACAATTTCCATTTACAGAATCTAAATATTTTTTGCCTACTGACGCGAGAAAGCAGAATGACCTTGAAAAAAATAATGTGCTTGGTCATCTCCAAAGGTCAGACATCCTTAGCCGAGCTCATCAAGTGCAGCTCCCAATATCAGAACTGATATGGCTGATCAACAGTCAACAGTCCTTTCTTACCATAGCTTGAGGTATTCTATGAGCATTAGCTCCTAATGTTAGAACAGGATGACTTAGTTTATATCCAAGATGGCTGTAAAAGTCTTGTTTATCTAAGGTATTGAGAAACATCTGTTTAAAACCTTTCCTGTAAATATAAATGTATAGAAATAAATGATTAATAAAGCATAGATATAATAGTTCAATCTATAGATCTTCAAAGAAAACAAACACTGAATTTGAGAAATTATATTATAATATGAAAGCTAACTGGAGCACATAATGTACATATGATTTCTTAAGATTTGTGATTGTCTTATATCAATTGTGTTTGAGAATACACAAATATATCTACTTTGTTGCTTTTTGCTGGAACAAGAGAAAGCTCAATAACATCCTTACCCTGAAGAATATTTTTCAGCTTCCAGCATAATTTTCTTTCCATATCCTTTCCCTCTCAAATCCTCTCTTATAAAAACTACAAAATATGAGATAAACACAAAATTTCCAAATATCAATTCATGATCAGCATGGCTTTTTCATTGATCCTGTCTACATTGGTTTAACCTCTTGACATTGATCATTCCAGGATTATCAATGCCCATTTTCAGCTGGATCGATTGGAATAAAGTGGATGATGACTTATTTAAGGTCTCAAGACTTTCACACAATAACCAAGATCATAATCCATAACCATCATTTTTTTTATGTAACTAAGCAAATAACATTATGTAAAGTCGCCTATGTTCTTACCAACAGAGCTACATCCCCTCTTCAAAAATTGACTTAAGTTAAAACCTTACCACTTTCAATATAACAAGCCTTGTCTACACCCTGGGCTTCCATTATTTTAGCATGACCTATGACCTCTGATTTTCCAGCATGATTTCTGACCATTATTAAACTACAGGGTAAACTATCTCTTGATATCTCCAATGACTGAATTCTGCAATAAAACAAAGGCACAACACAGAGTTATAGCAGCCATAAGTGCAAATAATGTTTCTATTGTTCAACAGACTACACTTCTGTTGCTTTATATAAGTAGACTGCTGTAACAATAGTCATTTCCTACAAACAAAACTGACACGAAGTATTTATGTTAAAGGATGCAGTCATCTCAGTATTTTTTTATCAGTTCAGCTCATTTAGACAGTTGTTCTCTTTAGAGTCCCTGGTTCCCAACCTGGCGTGTTTTCACCTCTGGGAGTGTCAGGGTGTGGCCAATTGTTATAGAAGAAGAATGTATCTTTGATGTTTTAAAATATCAATTGATTTTCGGGACGTGATATGGTTTAAATGATTGCTCTGGGATGTGAGGACTGGAAAAGGCTGGGAAACATTGCTTTAAAAATAGCCTAGACTAGAAGCATGACAAAACTTCTATCCTGCGGTTTTTATTAATCCAAATTCAACCAAATTTTGGAAATAAGAAATCACCTAGCATTGAGACTTCGAGACCAGTATGTATTCAACAACTGAGCACATTCTTCTATCAATTCTTTACGGTGATGGAGAGGAATGACTTGAACTTCTTCTTTCTCCATTTCGCTTTTTTACAGCTTTACTTTTACTTTAGCAAAATATAATGTAAAGTGGAACGAAAGTATAAATTTATCCGAAATTCTTCAGTATTGGAATTCTTTTCTAATTTAAGATTTGTCATTAGAACTACAGTGTTTTAATAAAATTGAAAGAAAATAGTGAAGATTTATTGTTGCGTTTCAGAAAATATACATTCTTAATCTTGACGTTGAAAAGTCAACATGGCTGCCGAAAATGGAACTAAAGAAGAAAATGCTCTTCCACCTCCTCTCTCTGCTAAATTCAAAGAGTAAGAATTCTGAATAAATGATACATAAAACCATTGCGTGTCCTTTTATAAAAAAATAACTCTTTTCATATGCAGACTGTTTGTGAATTGTGCAGAAAATGGGGTATCACTATAATCACAGCTAACATTGGCTACGGACAACAGTAAATATTCCCATGGGATTTGATTTATCACATGACTACACTAAGAGATAAATGCATGTTTTTTTTATGTATTTAGGAACAACATTAACTATTCTATGCCCTTACCTTATGTTTCAGCCTTACTATCCATCAAGGTTTATTCTGAATATTTTGTAATGGGGGAAAAATCAAATTTTGGCTAACTGTGGTCTGTAGGTAACATTATACATCCTGCATGGAATAACCCTTTGAACACTGAGCATTAATGGAACATAATTTCATATACATTTTACCCTGTAATTGGCACAAAGTGACTGCCTAGGTATATAATACATATTTATGGGCCTGTAGGGCCCTGGTTCCCAATAAGGGATGTTTTTCGCCCCCTGGGGTGTGGAACTGGGTTGTCGGGGGTGTGGGCAACCGAATAAGGTTGGTAACCACTGCAGTAACGCGACCGATATTGTGCGGGAAAATTATTCTATCTGTCTTCTATTTCAGATCATTTGCATTTGTGACCATCAAAGATCGCTTACCTGTTATTCTCAGTAAAGTAGCTGATACTGTACATAGAAAGAAAAACAATCTTGGTGCAGAACTGGGAAATGTAAGTAACCCATATTGAATGCAGAATGATTCAGGTTGTATTTAAATTGCTTGTTTAATGAAAAATAATATTTATATTTAGCAGATTGGAAATGGTTTTCTAAACTTTTTATGTGTATGATACATAAGATATAAGCCATATACATGGGCCTGATACACATATAAGTTTTCAAAATTGCTAACAATCTCTTTAAGATGTTGAAAAATTAAGTACCACTATTTGTCATTTCTATTAACTAAACAATGGTCTTCGTTGGAAACACATTATTCAAGTTTATTGTTACTATTCAAAGCAAGGTACAGACACATGGTTTAAGCAGGAAAATGGAAATTCATAGTTTTTTAAGCTTTTTAGTGGATATAGTTATTATTTTATTTGTAGGAAAAAGCAGAAGATTTGAAAGGAATAGCTGGTGAAATATCAAAACTACGATATGAAATACAAACAGATAAAGATGTTGTAGCTCTTGAAGACACCAGAGGTGATGTAGACATCTGGAATGAAGTTTTAAAAAACCTGACCAAACAGAATAACAATCAACCTCCTAGATGGTTCAGTGCTGCTTGGTTATATTTAGAATGCTATATGTATAGAAGAATACAACAAAGTGTTGAATTAAGGTCAGTTTTTTTTTCTCACTATTCTGTAGCTTATTTTTAAAATCCTAACAATTAACGGAGTGACCTTCAAACTTTGGCTGGGTTTTACAGATCTTTGATATCAAGATAGGTTAAAACCCCTCTACCTGCGGGCCTTTTTTTTTCTGTCCCTACACTACACATCTGTTTGAATAGCTATCAGAGGCTGGAATGGAGACAGATGTTTCAATCTAATTATGTCCATACCATTCACAATATATTTTTTAATTACAGTAAATATATGAATGAGTACGATGTATTTGAAGATCAGAAGAAGAATGCCTACGTAACGTCAGTCCCAGCTATCCAGACTTTATTGACATATTTATTAACCTCCGTAGAAAATATACCAGTTGACTCGAATAAACTTCAGCCATTGTTTTCACAGTTAATACAGGTCAGTTGAGACACGGTCTTTATCCTGAATCCAAAAACACAAGTTTCACCAATCATAAATTGCTCAGAAATTGGAATTTTTTAGCTAAGCTAATCAGTAATAGTGTTCCCAGCTCACTGTCAAAATCTGAGCCTTCAAATCCATGTGTGTACAGAATTATCCACGTTTGAATGTTAAAATGAGGCGCTCTGCAGTCTAGCATGAAATTTTTTGACAAATATTCAGGATATATTTTCTGACTTGAAAAAGATTGCAGAGAAAATTACATAATGATATGTGGGAAGGGGGTAATGCAATAGATCAAGGGGTAACAGAAAGAAAAAGGTTGAAAACCTCTGCTTTAAACTGCTACAAATATCTTCAAACAAATTATATTTTATATTTTAGGTGGCACTATGGGGTAATAAATGTGACTTGTCTATATCAGCCAGCATGGAGAATTCCCAAACTAGTTGTATCTTAGACCAACTTCATTCCCTGGAACCGTTTATCCTGTTAAACCACACCCAACAACTCTGGAATCATCTTCAAAAAACAGGAAAATGTCGAATTGATATTGTTTTAGATAATGCTGGGTTTGAACTCATTACTGATCTATGCCTTGCAGAGTTTTTACTCTCTTCTAATATGGCGTCTGAAATTCATTTCCACGGTAAAGCCTTTCCATGGTTTGTATCAGATGTAACTTCTGACGATTTTTTATGGACTTTGGAATCTTTAGCATCTACTAATAACTTGGCGTTGTCTCGTTTCGGCACAAAATGGCAGCAACGAATTCAAGATGGTACCTGGGTGTTGCATTTTGATAAATTTTGGACAACTCCATACGTCTTTGAAGAAATGAAATCAAAATGTCTGACATTACATTCAGAATTATCGAAAGCATCGTTGATTATTTTCAAGGGTGATTTGAATTATCGAAAGTTAGTTGGTGATTTGAATTGGGACACGACCGTGAGTTTCGAACGAAGTTTACAAGGATTCCATCCTGCTCCATTGGTCTCGTTACGAGCTCTGAAATGTGACGTAGTGGTTGGTCTAAAACCAGGTCAAGGTGAAGAAACAAAGGTCAAGGATGAATCATGGATGATCAATGGAAACTGGTCGGTGATATGTTTCTGTGATAAACAGCTAAAATAGAAAAATGGATTCTCAACTTACCTCAAATTTTAATGAAATTTTGAAAATGTACAATGCTTATAGGTCTTAAGTTAAAGCTTTTCCACCATAGAAACATGGGATAAAGTGGATATTTCTTTTTTTTTTTTTTAATAGAAACAAGGAGGGATTTGTGAAATATGCAAAAAAATATTTGCATGACAATTTTGAAAGTATAAACTTGCTAGTGGAATGCAGGGTACTAATAATTTGAAAGGGAAACAATTGTGCAATTTGCAAAAATATTTAAGAATATTTTATTTTCAAAACTTAGGTAATTTGAATCAGATATTGTTATATATCCAAGCATATAATTTCAGTGCAAACAAACTGGGTGTGTAAAATTGCATCTATATTTGTGTGGGGAACTTTTTTAAGGATTTTACCCTATATTTTCAGCTTTATAGTAACATGGATTGTTTTTATTAAGTTTTATTGATTTGTTAAGTTTGTAAAATCTTTAAAATATGGTGAAAAAAAATCTTTTTTTTAACAAGGTCTGTCTTTTATAATCTCATGTCAATATAAGGATGAATGTCAATCTAACTGCACCATCTCTTCAACACATTTGAAACAATTCCTACTGTATCTCAATGTGGCAGGTAAAGCTTGTATTAGAGGGTGAGAACCGAAAGCACTGGCACAGGCATCAGAATGCTTCTTACCTTGAGGAGAATTCGAACCCATGGCACCTTATCGCCTAGCAGACAACAATCCAGGTAAAGCTTGTGTTAGGAACAGAGTTAATAAATATTCATGATCCAACATTTTTTCCAAACTGATTTCAATCAACACAGGAACACATAAATATGAAACTCTGGAACATTACCTGTAGTGGTGTAGCGAGGATTCCATTGACAGGGTGAACCAGCAGAGCACCTGGCGTCCCTTAGGGGGATTTGGAGGGCACTAGTCATGGTAGGGGGTCAGGGAAACATTTCTGATCTAGGCAGGTGGAGAATACAATTAATGTGATTTGGGATTTTTTTTTTTTGGCCTGAGGGGAGGGGATGCATGCCCGAAAAATTACCCTTAAATACCCCACTAAATACATGGATGAAAAAAGTTGTGTTGGTTTACATCATCACCTGAAATGAAGCTATTTGGATGAAGTGAACCGTAGTGGTAAATAATAAGAGAGATAACAACAATGATGTATCTGTAAAGTGAATATATCTCTCTGCTAACTATGTAGGTCTTGTTATAGAACAAACTGGAATGTATTGTAGTATGACTTGACGATAGGTTAAATACATTTGTGGTCTGATTTGATTAACAATAAGTAGAGTTATTTCCCTTCGACCAATGATTCAATTGTAAATGCTCATTACACAGTGTGGATATGCAGGTTTTGGTCATGTCAGGCCGGGCTGGCTCCTCACCTAGTAATTCAGAGTCACGTAAACTTCTAATTTGTAACCCCAAACATTATTTCCCTTCGATTTCCTAAGCCATCAAAATCGACCGATATCCAGTGGAGTTTGTTGGAATAATTAGGCGAAGGAAAGGGCCAAAATTTTTTGTGTATAATGATAAGAAATGTTAAATTGGTGGAGGGGACAAAGCCGGGCACGCTTTCCTGGGGGTGTTAGGTGTGCTTGGTGTTAGGCTTGAGTATGTGTTAGGTTGGGTATCAACTCATACTATTATTAGCTTTATTGTATTATAGCCTTCACGTCCCCCAAATGCAAAATAAATTCCATGATGAATGAAAAGTTAAAGATAACCAATATATTATATAAACTATCTAAAACAACTCATTAGTTTATGGTGATGAGGCGTTTCAATTCGTGTTGAACCATACAGCAATTAGCCCAGTTTACTGAAAAATAAAATAAGAAATAAATCTAATAAAATAACCGAATTGTGGTGGGTCAGAAAACGTCAAAGACAGACATCGGCTTATAATTCAAAATTCAGAATTCTCTGTGGCATTTGTTTTCATGGAGATTCGCCGCTTCATCTAATATTCAATCGCTAAATTTTGTAATCTCATTTCGACATTCTAGCAAAATATCTTGATCTTCATTTTATAATACCCCGAAAGCAAGTCTTTCTGGCAAAAATCTCATAACTAGGTTAGAAATTCGGGCAATCTGAGATATTTGGCCCCCTTTCGGACGTAAACCTGGCTCCGCCACCGATTCTTGTCGGCTATATGATTATCACCCTGAAGCGGTTAACAACTTTCGAATTACATTCGATTAAGTGCCGTGCGTTCGAATCCTCTTCAAGATAAGTTAAAATCTGATGCCTTGGTCCAATGTCGACTTTCTCTTCCTATCACTAAATTTTGGTTTTTTACGTTAGAGATACTTTAAAATATTAGTCTGACCTCTCTTTAAAATTAACTGGGGATTTAAAGCTATATAATAAACCACGGTATTGTAATCCAGAAACACCAGTCGATTCCAGCTAGATTTCTTTGATTCCTGCAACTCACAGAGTCTAAATATAGAATCTTATCTCATCGTCTTCAGTTAAAGATACCACAAAGGGTCTTAGTGGATATATACAGGGTGCGAAACTAGGGCTTTGATTAGATAGATAATGGTTTCTCCGAGGTACCCACAAGCTGTTCTCTTGGGGCACCTGGGAGGGTTCCTAGACACTTGTAATCATAATTTTTTTTAATATCAGCGATGGTTTTAGATAAGAACATAGAATCCTCGAATTAAATTCTTGGATTCCAACCAACCATACTCATAAGTTCGTACAAGTGAACACCTCGGTATAAGCCTCTTGGACAATTTGAAACAATAATGTTTTATAATATCAACGATGGATTCCGGTTTATACATTAAACATATTTGTTCGTGTATTACAAATCACGACTGTGGGTCCCCAAAATAGTGTGAGGAGAGGAACAAAGAACAGCTATGTGTAGAAAACATGGTACAGCGAGTCCGATTCATGGAAACCAAGGGATTGGATTGATCTTGCTTTAGAGTTCAATGCTTGCTACTATTGTAGAGTGCTAGCACCATGATATGAAGGAAGATCGTGTTTTTTATTTACACGAATCGATTACCGGTTAATTGTAAATATAATGCGCATGTAAGTAGTGTTCACGTCTTCTCATCTACCGTGCCAAATATCTTATCCAAGCTGCAAACAGCTTAAGCCTGGCACAGTGGCAGTCTTCTGTAATCCAATTATCATGATATTGTGAGCCATCTTTCTCCAAATTCGTCGCTAGTTTTCTCTTGTGATATGATTATCACGCTTTCAATTTAGTGCTTGTTGTTTCCTGAAGTTATAGAACTTGATACGATCGTGAAAACCCTATTATAGTACTGTTAAATAGTTCATAGTACTGACTACTATCGAATAGTTACTTGAATGAAATTAAGTTGTTTTTTATGCTAAAGGCTTTCATTAAAATCTAACCGACATAATTAGACCATAACTCAATTACACCCGATATTCAATTATAGCGTATCCCGTAGTCAAACAAAAACCTTTTCTTTTTGATAATAAAATGGAATTGATATAAGATCATTTATTTTAGTGCTTGTTTGTTTCTTGATCTGAATAGATTTATATTCATGCATTACATGCAATATAGTGGTCATTTCTAATGCGTCTCGTCACGGAAGAATCCAAAAATCCAGGCTACAAAAAATATAAATAAATTATTGAGAATTATTACTGATTAAACCCTAGAAAGTGTCCTTCTCCCATGCATTAATTCGCCTTCTGTTTTAGTTAGGATATATATATATATAGAAACATTAGGTGAAGGGGGCGAGCAGGCGTCACAAAATTTTCCAGGGGGCCACAGATTATTGTTTCACTATGTAAAATGAGAACAAATTTGACAGTGGGGGTGGGGAGGGTCAAAGTCTTTTCTGTGAAGAGCACCCCCAGGTCCCCTGTAGAAACGCCACTGGGCTATTCATATATAACTTCATTGATTTGTGATATGGAGTGGAATGTACGGCGATGCCCCTGACTCCCTCTCACTCACCTGACAACGCCCCTGTTATACAATGAAAGTATAAAACGTAGACTGTAGGTAAACAGGACAATGTTCTTTACTTTAATATGTCAATCGATATCAGTCGATTTTTACAACTAACATACATTTATACTAACACGTAATCCGACAACACAGAAACCTGAGAGGACTAGTCCTCCCTACGAGTACCAATTACCACCCAAGGGGAAAGAGGGGGCATTCCAGTTGCAGTCCGAGGCATCCAAGTATTTCATTTTACTTACGATGAATCAGGGCTGCCTATATATTAAATCGTGATATTCCCGATCGCTGCTTGAAAACATACTATCAATAGATCATATTATACCCTACCGCTCACCGACTGAACCCTTCTTCCACCATTCCTACATTGGTTCAAACCTCCCTCCATCTCATCTAAACGCAAATCCTAACTTACATTTCTGGATCAAGTGAAAATTGAGTGCCCTCGGCAGAATAAAAGAAAATCCTACCACGGACTTTGGTCATTAAAATATATTAAGAAATAACGAGAGTTTTATTTTCTGTTTTCAATTAAATTAATTAGATGAAGTTTTTTTCTTTTTTCTTTTTTCTTTATCCTGGATTATTCATCTTCATTAACCCAAAAAGTGATTCAAAGACTAAAATATCTGCCCGGAGACAGTTTTTAATAAACTTATTAGCCGTATTCATCAAGATTTGGTATTAAAGTTGTAAACTGATTACTTGAAGTGGACTGTCAAGTACGATAACTCATCGTCTGTGTTGCTGTCTCTGCAACGGCTCTAAGAATCAAGAAAAAAGGAGAAAAATGAAAAATGGAAGATTTAAACCTCAAATTGAACTTGTATTTTCCAGGAATTTTAATAATATTGAAATTAGACTCTTTCAAATAGCAGGAAATGATAAATTTTGTAAGTCGTTTCAAAAGTTAGGCAATTATCTTCATTACGCTACGACCATTAATGCTAGTCTATATTTCTTTGGTTTGTATAGCTAAATAGGTCAAGTGTATCTTTGC